GTAGACAAAGACAAATGTATTGTATAAAAATAAAACCTTGGCCAGGTACAGTGACTCACACCTGTAATCCTAGCACTTTGGGAGGCTGAGGCAGGTAGATCACCTGAGGTCAGGAGTTAGAGACCAGCCTGGCCAGCATGGTGAAACCCTGCTTCTACTAAAAATACAAAAAATTAACAGGGTGTGGTGGTGCACACCTGTAATCCCAGCTACTCGGGAGGCTGAGACAGGAGAATTGCTTCAACACAGGAGGCAGAGGTTGCAGTGAGCCAAGATCATGCCATTGCACTCCAGCCTGGGCAACAAGAGTGAAACTCTATTAAAATAAAATAAACCCTCTCCTCCCACTCAGCAAAATACATAATCTGGAGACTCATAGCTTAGTCTCCAATATAACTCTGTGGGAAGAACTGCAGTCAAGTGTCCCATTCTTTTTTTCACTTAAAAAAGGCAGTTTTTCATCAAAAGGGCAATATGGAGGCCTAATATGAAATAAGGCCTTTGCCTATGGCAGATTTTATTTTCTAAAGACACCACAGTGTGTGTCATCACACATGCTCTTCCAAAATGTGGCCTTGCAAACTTGAAGAAAAATAGAGCCTGAAGTAAATAATATTTACCTCCACAAAATGGCACATCCCTTACTCTGTCAGGCTGCTGATGTGGGTGCCTAAGTCCGTCTGAACTGTAGTTAAGCTGGATCAGGGCTGGTTATAGGTTTAATAGATTCGTTCATTATTGACTTCAAATATTCCTGAAGACATGATCAAGACTTTCCTTTTACAGAAAGGAGGTCTGTGTACAGATTTCTTTGTGCTTAGTAACCTAGCCACCAGCAATCTGAGCCTTGGGAGATCTCTGTGCTTTACAACCTGTTACACTTTTGTTTGCTGGGGAATATTTTTTGCTCTCCACTCACATCCTTGGCTTTCTGTATCTTGTGAGCTCTCTTGCTATCCCATGGTTCTGTCCCCAGCCTTTGGAGGGCTCTTGCAGTATACTGCAGAATTTTCCCGGCCTGACCAACATGGTGAAACCCCATCTCTACTAAAAATACAAAAATTAGGCTGGGTGTGGTGGTTCGCATCTGTAATCCCAGCACTTTGGGAGGCTGGGGCGGGCGGGTCATGAGGTCAGGAGTTCAAGACCAGCCTGGCCAACATGTCTCTACTAAAAAATGTACAAAAATTAGCTGCACATGGTGGTGAGTGGCTGTAATCCCAGCTACTCAGGAGGCTGAGGCAGGAGAATTGCTTGAACTGGGACTTTGGAGCGGAGGTTGCAGTGAGCTGAGATCACACCACTAAACTCTAGCCTGGGTTACAGAGTGAAACACCGTCTGAAAAAAAGAAAAATTTATTGGCTGGGCGCGGTGGCTCAATCCTGTAATCCCAGCACTTTAGGAGGCCAAGGCGGGTGGATCACGAGGTCAAGAGATCGAGACCATCCTGGTCAACATGGTGAAACCCTGTCTCTACTAAAAATACCAAAAATTAGCTGGGCATGGTGGTGCGAACCCAGGAGGCAGAGGTTGTGGTGAGCCGAGATCGCGCCATTGCACTCCAGCCTGGGTAACAAGAGCTAAACTCCGTCTAAAAAAAAAAAAAAAAAAAAAAAAAAATTATTATTTTCTCCTGCTTCATTAGCCCTGGAGTTGAAGAACCAGATTGCTTTGTTGGAAATTTTCTCATTTTTTCTCACATTACTCTGGCTTTTAGCCACTATCTTGCATTTGGGGAAGGCCTATGCACCTTGAAATAGTTGTAGATGAAGACTCTCTATTAGCACTTGATATGGCTTGGCTTGTTGCCACCAAATCTAAACTTGAACTGTATCTTCCAGAATTCCCAGATACTGTGGGAGAGACCCAGGGGTAGGTAATTGAATCATGGGGGCCGGTCTTTCCCATGCTATTCTCGTGATAGTGAGTAAGTCTCATAAAATCTGATGGGTTTATCAGGGGTTTCGGCTTTTGCTTCTTCCTTATTTTTCTCTAGCCATCGCCATGTAAGAAGTGCCTTTTGCCTCCTGCCATGATTCTGAGGCCTCCCCAGCCATGTGGAACTATAAGTCCAATTAAACCTTTTTCTTTTCAGTTTCAGGTATGTCTTTATAAGCAGCGTGAAAACGAACAAATGCAGCCATTCTTGCCTGACCACAGCCTTTGTAGCTTATATCGCCTTTTTTAAGAGAAGGGCCATGGGTTAGAGCTGGCAAATAGTTGCAGAGTCATTCTGTAGCTGGGGCTCTGTGGATTATAAACTGTCACAGAGTCCAGGTAGGGTCATTAGAAGATAGTTAAATATGGTCATTTAGTTTCTCCTTATCCCTCTTAAAGGCAGCGTCTCCCTTCTACAGCCAGTCTACAAGAGATGAAAGTGACTGTGGGTTTTTTCCCCTCTCTAATAATGTCTCATCACTTCCTGGATTTTGGTTCCTTTAGATGTCTTTAGCCCCTCAGTTCTTTGATAGTTTTTTGTTTCGCTTTGTGTTTTGTTTTAAGTATGATTTGTAGCATATCTAGATTGTTCTTACTTCCTTTGAGACAGTCTTGATCTGCACCCAGGCTGGAGAGCAGTGGCACCATCGTAGCTCACTGCAGCCTTGATCTCCTGGGCTCAAACAATCCTGCTGTCCCTCACCCCCCACCCCAACCGCCCGCTGGGCTCTTGACTAGCTGGGATAGCTGGCACTACCACACCCAGCTGATTTTTTAAATTTTTAGTAGAGATGGGGCCTCACTTTGTTGTCCAGACCGTTTGTTTTTATTAGGGTGGGAGCAAATGGTCTTTTGAAAATTTCTATATCTGTATCAGGAGAAATTGAAATGTATCCATTTGTTTCATTTTGCTATTTTCAGTAGTTCCTCTGTTTCCTCTATCAAAAGCCATATCTCCTATCAGACAATCCTACTACAACTAAGGCTCTTGCCTGGTTACTGTAACTGCTCCCTTAAATTACCCTCTTAGTCTTAGGGGAAATCAGAATTTCCTGCTTTTACTGTCTCTGTATCTCTGAACTGCCTCATCATTCTTTCTTGGTTTCCTTTGTTGTTGTTGTTGTTTTTTTGAGACAGAGTTTCATTCTGTTGCCTAGGCTGAAGTGCAGTGGCCCAATCTCGGCTCACTGCAACCTCCACCTCCTAGGTTCAAGGGATTCTCCTGCCTCAGCCTCCCAAGTAGCTGGGATTACAGATGTCCCCCCACCACACCTGGCTAACTTTTGTATTTTTAGTAGAGACCGGGTTTCACCATGTTGGCCAGTCTGGTCTCGCACTCCTGACCTCAGGTGATCCATTCCCCTTGTCTTCCCAAAGTGCAGGGATTACAGGTGTGAGCCTCTGCACCTGGCCGATTTCCTTTAACTTTGTCCACATTTTTGAAAAGAGTCCCTTTGTTAAACTTTTCTCAATTATGCTATTTGAACGAGTCATCTCCTTTTTGCTGGGGCCCTGACTGATAGGTGGTACTTCTCTGAGAAAAGAAAGTGATTCAGCCTATAGGAAGATAGTGAAGAGTATTATGCAGAAGCCAAAAAGAGAGTTGCAATAGTTGGTTGAGTAATAGTTGAAGTGGTACTAATGCTAGTGACACCCAGGAATGGGAAGAAAATGAATAGATTTCCCTGCCAATGCCTCGTCTTTAGTAAACCTCTGGCTATTAACCAGGAAGGTTGAGCATCATCAGAACATTGTTTGTGTTTGAGGATCGTTTTCCAGGTTAGTTTTTGGAATATATCTAGTGTGGAATATAAAACCTAATAGATCAATGAGGTCTTGTTGGTATGCTGGGGTCAGGGGAGGCAAGGAGAAGCTGGAAGAGGGAGCAGAGAATTCTAAGAAAATAAATTATTTTAATCAGCTGCAATGTTTAATTTAATACAGATTTGGCATTTGCAATTACGTAATTTACTCCATATGAACCTTTAGGTTAGCTATAGTATTGTAAACTTGCAAATCTCCTTATAAAACCTTTTTCTTTGGTAGAAGCTGCTATGAAATAACTAAACCTTTATTGCATTAGTTTAGTGCCTGGAACACAGTAGGCCTTTACAACACGTTAGATCTGCAAATACTAGCTGACATTTATTGAGCTCTTACCCGGTGCCACGCACTATGCAGAAAGTGCTTGACATACTTTTAAAATCCCAATTTACAGGTGAATATTTAAGGATACAAGATGCATTTCTATAGTAGACAAGCAGTAAAGTGATAATGAATTAATTGAGGTGAAGTCTAAGTTATTTGAAGATTTTCACATTATTTTTGTGAAAAAGTAAGTTTACTGAAATTTAAGACCGGAACACAAAAATAACCTCTCTTGATTTTCTTTAAAAAAATTAAAATAAGTTTTTTTTATACATAGTAGGTATAAATATTTATGGGGTACATGAGATGCTTTGATACAGGCATGCAATGTGAAATAAGTACATCATGGAGAACAGGGTATCCATCCTCTGAAACGTTTATTCTTTGAGTTACAATCTAGTTACATTCTTTATTTTAAAGTATTCAATTAAGTTCTTATTAATGATAGCCCTCTTATTGTGCTATCAAATAGTTTTCTTATTCATTCTTTCTATTTTTTTGTACCCATTAACCATCTCACCTTCTCTGTTTCTTGATTTTCCTTTGCATGCATGTATTCATAATGTTTATTAGTATTTTGCAAATCTTTGTAGAATAAGTCTGACCTGTCACAGGTCACAATTATAGGCCACATACCTTACTTTCTGAGAGAAGCAGGGATTTTATTTATTAATTTATTTTTTATTGTTTTGCTTATTTTCTCCCCATCATTTCCCTCTACTTCGTTCTCTTAAATCTTTCTCATGTTTTCATTCATTACTTCCTGCCTGCCTTCCTTCAAACAAGACCAGGTAGGTGCTTAGTTCTGAAGTCTCATTCAAAATGGTGCCACGTCATCTGCCAGGGCCAGAATCCAGAGGTGCTGTCATGTTTCTCGTTGCCGGCGTGGATCTCCTCTGAGCCCCGCCCTCCCTCCTCACCTGCTCTCGGGGAAACCACACCTAGGCCGCCGACACCAGCTCTGGCCTGGGGCTCCCTCCCCCACGGCCTTGGCCCCCTCCCCCTCGCCCCAGGATCGCTCCTCCCCTCCCGGATCCCAGCGGGCGGAGCGCATTTATTTGCATATTTCTACCTTTGTTCCCGGCCAGCGGCCAATCAGCGCGCGGGGCCAGGCGAAGGGTCTGGGCGGGGCTCCGGCTCCGGCTCCGGCTCCTGCTCAGCTGCGGCGGCCGCAGGTTCCAGAGCGGGTCCGAGCCGCCGCCGGCGCGCCGCGCACTGCAGCCCCCGGCTCCGGCCCCCCACCCGCGTCCGCGCTGCTGCCCCGCCTGGGTCAGGCCCCAAAGACAAGGACAAAGCGGCTGTCCGGGAAGCTCCGCCGGAGTCTAATTTACGTGCGGCTGCTGGCAACCACAGGTTCCAAGATGGTTTGCGGGGGCTTCGCGTGTTCCAAGAACTGCCTGTGCGCCCTCAACCTGCTTTACACCGTGAGTATCCCCAGTCCGTTCCTGCCCGCTTGGGGGCTTTGCACCTGCTTGGGCGCTCTTGGGCTTTCCTGCCTGGTCAACGACTCTCTCGTTGCATCCCGCGCCCCCTTCCCGGCTTCCCACGCTCTGCGCGCCCCCGGCCTCGCCATCCGTCCCTGCCGGGTACCGGGCGCCGGCGCTTGTCGCAGTCTCTTCCTTTCGTTCATTGTGAAGCTGTCGTCTCTCAGGCTCTCTGGCCGCGTTTCTGCCTCATTGCTCCACCCCACCCCCTCACCCATCGCCTTGTTTTTCAAACATTTGACTAGACCTCCACGCTTTCCCACCCCAATCCTTCTGTGCGGCTTGCTCCTGGCTTCCAAACGCATCTGGGCCGGGCGTGGAGGCGCCAGAGCGGTCCGGGCTTGCGGAGAGTTTTGCGGAATGGCGTGGCCTGAAACTGACGAGGCGGCATATGGCTGGTGTGCCTCTAGGTTAGCTCTAGGTGCCCTCGTGATTTTAATTGAGGCCACTGAGTAGCTTCACAGGATATCCGCTGCTTCCTAAGTTTGTTTCGTGCTCACAGCAAAGGGGTGTGTTTTTGTTCTTCTTGTCAGTTTTGCTCGTACTTGGTGCTTTTTCTATGTGTCTTGCCCACGATCAATATCCTAACTCCATTTTAAACCAAGTCCTCCAGGAAATAAGCGAATCACCACCCAAGTCGTTTATTTCCCTGCCAGCCAGCTTGGGTCTGTTAGTTTTAATGCTGCAGGTGATCTTTGTCATTTTTTTTGAGGCGCAATTCTGGGTGAACAGGAAGATGGGCAGGACAGATTGACGTTTTATTGGATGCTTATCACAGCTCAGGTTTTGCATACACAATGTTCGTTCATCATTCTGACAACCTGAGGGAACGGGGCATTGTGTGCATTTTATACATGAGGTAACAGACCAGAAAGGTTTTATTAAGTTTACATAGCTGGTAGCTGACTAGTCAGGATTGGAACCTAGGCTGTGGAATCCAGATCTTTCCACAGGCTGCCTCTACTCGACGGAAGAAACTTCCTCTTCTGTCATCATCCCTCCATCGTAGTCTTGTTCCCTTCTATAAATATACCTGGCACTTTACAGCACCCACCCTGAAAACAAACGCAGTACCCCTGCATTAGCAGAGAGCTAGGCCATATGTACAAGCTTAGATTACATCCTTGGAATAGAGAGGCTGCCTTGTGGTCCCCAACAGAAGAAGGAGGTTGGGTCATTTTACCATTACTGTTCTTTTGTATGTGAACATGATTGCAAGCTTTGAAGGCAAGACAGAAACAGGCATTGAGCTATAAAAACAGGCTTTTATGACTAGTTATTAGGAATCTAGTCAACATGGTCATTAATTTTTGGGGCAAACATTTTTAGAACATCTCGTGATACACTTCTTGAAGATACATGTCAAGTTTCAGATGAAAATTAATCTGTCTTAACCTGAGGCATGCTTATCACCCTGGCTGTTAAGTATATGCTGACCCGTTATCTAGGCATTTTTTAAAAATATCAGTGTGAATGGCCTGCTTAGAACTTTAAATTCATTGTTTTGTGCCCCGAGTTCTGTTTTTTTTTTTCTGCCAATGATTTAGTCATCTATTTGCCAGACACTTAATTTTACAGTGTCTGGTTATACAGAGTGGAATGTCTGCTTTTCATACTTACTTGAGTGAGGGTCTGTATAAATTAATGTATAATTTGTTTTTGAAGGCAAGTTATTTTAAAATGAAGTTCCATTGCTTTCTAGACATACCATTTTTAGTTGTATTTAGAGTTTATCAGGAAAGTGAGGCAAAAGAAAGATATTCTAAAGGGACATATTAAGACTATTTAATATCTATTCTAAATTATTGACCTTCAAAGTGTATATTCTATTGATTTTAATAGCTGTGCAGTAAAACTCACTGAATTGGAATTCATGAGACAATAAAAATGGCTAGCTCTTTTAAATCATAGACTTTTTACACAAAGGGACATTTCTTGAAGTAAATTAGTGGCTACTTCTTTTACATTGTAATTAGGCTTAAATAAATGTAGTAGTTTAAAGTGGAGGCAAGTGACAGGTAAAAGTTGGATCCAGTCTTAGATAGATGCTGAAAATGTGCCAGGGCCATTATTTAGCTTCTATTTCTCCCTGATCTGTTTCTCAACATTTTAAGATGAAAAAATGTGAGGCGATTGGGGATGAGGTTGAGCATGAGGGCTTGGGAGACATTTTCTATTAAGTCATGAATAGAAGGATTCTTTGTAGTTTCTAATCCCACCCTGGTTACTGCCTCTAAAATTGCTCAACGCTACAGGATTCCATTTTAGATCATTTCTAAAAGTGTTGGTTAAACCAGGATTGCATATGGGAATGGCAGGTGTAAAGGCCATGGCTGCCTGAAGCATCATCACTGCTGTGTTGAGGCATTTTCCGGAGGAACAGAGGACTCTTATCATCTGAACTGTCTGCATGCTCTGGTGGCTTGCTAATGAGCCTGAGATTCCTGCCACATTCATGATCAGCTCAGAAAGCATGTCACTAAAAACAAGTTGTAAGTCCCAGACAAGGAAATTTGATCACTAGGCAGAATGTTAACAATTGATTTTTCTGCTTGTTTATGGTTTGATTATTTTAGTTAATAGGATCCCTAGTACTGGACAAGCTTAAATCAGTATAGTATGTGTTAACAATTTGTAAATATAGAAGGAAAGGGGGAAGCTATAGTCCTGAATTCACCTTCGCGAGAGAATGACTTGCCTCAGAACTTCCTGCATTTAAAGAAACTTTTAGTTTCTTTATTCAACAATTATTTGAGTGCCTACTGTGTGCCAGGCTGTATTCTCAGTTTGGAAATACAGCAGCAAACCAAACAGGGCTTAAAAATCAATATGCTTTTATGAAGCCTCATTTTTATTTATTACCTTTTCTGCATATGATTTCAGGAATTGTATTCCGTCAGTAAACATTTGCCTACTGTGTGCACTCTGTTGAGAACTGTGGGAAATAATAAATACCTATAAAGGCAAATACCTTGCGAAGACAGGATCTAGATGAGAGACATGGAGAGGGAAAATTAAATGATGTATAAGGAATATACTGACATAGGCACTGTAAAATTTAGGACTGTGGGAAATATTTGTGGGTTAGAGAGATTGGGGAAATAACGGAGGTATGATTGAATCAAGGAAATGTAGAAATAGTGTGTGGGTCTTTTTGATACCATTTAGGATATACATAAACATGAAAACTATTTGGGAAATGACTTATTTTTAATAGTTTCTAAGAATATTGTAGGCTGAAAAGATTTTGACAAACAGTGAAAAACACTTGAAAATTATGCTTAGTGATTTCTGGGAAATTTTAGGAAATACGAAATTTTGTATTAAGACATGTAATATTTCGAAGCTTTATAATATGTCTCCTGCTACTTCTTAACCAGGGAAGAAAGCTCTGTTAACAAAGAAACAAGCCAAAAAAAGGTAGCTGACTTTGTTAAATAGAACCAAACTGAAAAATATGACCAAACATATATTTACTGGGACTTTTAAGAGTTGCCCTGCCAGTTTTAAAATCCCCAGGAGGGAAATTTCAGAAGTTGCAGTTTTGTTTCCTTCTTTTTGTGTTCATTCTTCTAACATCTTTCCTTGTTTGTTTCTCTTTTTTGTTATTCTTTTTCCTCATGTTTTTGGTTGTTTTGAGAAATATTCTCATACGGCATAAAAATTATATGGGATGACATTAATTCTAAGATACATTAATTTATATTTTTAACATCTCTGACATTGGGATGCAGTTTTTATTTTTGATTTTATTTTAATTTTTTTTTGAGATGGAGTTTCACTCTTGTTGCCCAGGCTGGAGTGCAATGGTGCGATCTCTGCTCACTGCAACCTCTGCTTCCTGAGTTCAAGCGATTCTCCTGCCTCAGCCTCCTGCATAGCTGAGATGACAGGTGCCTGCTACCATGCCCAGCTTATGTTTTGTATTTTTAGTAGAGCCGAGGTTTCACTATGTTGGCTAGGCTGGTCTCAAACTCCTTACCTCAGGTGATCCACCTGCCTTGGCCTCCCAAAGTGCTGGGATTACAGGTGTGAGGCCCCGCACCCGGCGTGTATTTTGTAGTAAAGTGTGCCATATCTGTTAGATAAAACAAAATGACCATTTATGGGAAGAAAATTCTGTTTCTTATCAAAATTATGGGAAGAAAGTTCACCAGATTTATGAATAAAATGGAACTTTTCCAACTCTATTACTGGACGAACAGCTTACTTCGTTTGAGTTTCAGTTTCTTCCTGTATAAATTGGTGATGATATTTTTCAGTCTTCCCCTCATGAAGTTGTGTGAGGATAAAATGAGATAGTATATAAATGCTTTAGATGTATAAGAGAAATGAAATTAAGTTGTTACAGCTTCAGGTGGAAAAAGTTGAATTACACTAAATTTATAGACGTGGCTTTTCCTTTCCAGCTATTCTTCACAGGTAAGACGTGCATAAAGAAAACTAGTGTAAAATAGTGTTTTGTTTCTTTTTGTCTGTAGTGATCAAGAGTAAATCCAGAAGCACGGCTAAATATTTTAAAGCATGAAAGTTAGCATTAGATTAGAAAGTAGTAATATTAAGTAGGAATTACTTTTATTTATCCACTATAGACTTTTTCTTTTCATCTTTGGCCAATGTTTCAAACATGTCTATGGGTTTCTTCTACCCTTTCTCATGAACAAATCCACTTCCTGTAAAATTGTATTATAATTATAACTGGTTAGGGTTACTTATGAGTCTAATGTAAGTATATTATAAGATGTGCCCAAGTTATTTTCTTTCTGTTCTTTATTCTAATCATAAATATTAATTGAGCATCAATAGCAGTGAACAAAACAAACCCCAATGGCTTGCCTTCACGGAGTTTACGTTTATGGGGATGGACGGATGATAAGTAAGTTATGTATCATATCAGATGGTAAACAAGTGCTTCGGAGAAAAATAAAGCAGAGTGAAAA